TCCCTGCTCGGCGGGAAGCCTGCTTCTCCCTCTCCCACTCCCCCTGCTTGTGTTCCTGCTCTCGCTATCTCTCTCTCTGTCAAATAAATAATAAAATCTTTTAAAAAAAGTATTTGTGTGGTGTATTCATGCTGGTGTTCGCTTTGCAGTTTCTCCTGGGGCTCCAGGGAGCCGTGGGCAGATGATGCTCGTGCTGTCAGGCGGTGGCTGGGACAGCGGTGTTGGTGTCCTTCAGGGTAGGGAAACTAGAGACTAAAATGGTATCATTTGGCCTCTTGCTTCTGCTGTTTATCTCATGAAATGGGTTTAGACCTGATGTGTATTTGTGAAAATACATGGAATGGACAGACAAGAGGAAATGTAAAACAGGTGTCAAAAATGCAAATACGACGCCATGGTGCAGTGTGAAAACGCTGTGGCCGTTACCCCGGCCTTTCATAAAAATGGACTTTTAACTGCATCGCTTTTTCTTAGTCGTATAGTAAATCTTCTGTTTACAGAACGTAGCCTGAGTATTTTGTGAAAGTCAAACAGCCAAGAAATATAATTTCCTCAGCAGTCTTTGTCTTGCCCTTTTACAGATGGCGTAAAATCAGGTGTGTAAAAAATAAAAAGCAGTTTGAGCTGACGTGAAAGGTATTTCAGATTTATGCATTGCAGATGATATTGGTATGATTAATGCATTCATTGCTTTTTTTATTGCTTTTCACAGATAATGTACATGATGCATGGAAAATGTTGTGGGTTTAAATCTTTGCCAGCTTTAGACTGTGAATATCAACAGATGTTATCATATAAGTACTATAGTTATTATAAAATAAAAAATTTTTCATGAAATGCATTGACATAAATTTCATTTATGTAAATTGCTTTCATTAGTACAAAACCTTAGCGTAGCCGTTAGGGTTTGTGAAGCCCTTTGGTTGAGATTAACTTGGTATAATGTGGTCAGAAATGGATTGCTTTAAATTTAACTGACAAGAAAATAGCACTCCAAAGTTAGGAAA